CACATGAAGATAACTTTATTTTTAAAAAGAGTGGCAAAGTAAGGTGAAGGAGTCTTGGTGGTGTAATGGTAAAACTCTGGGCTGCTAACTAAAAGGTCAGGGACTCAAACCCACCAGTGCTCTTTGGAAGAAAAGTGGCCACCTGCTTCCAAGGTTATAGCCTTGGAAACCTTATGAGTAAAGCTCTACTTTGTATTTTGAAGTTGTTATGCGTTGGAATCAACTTGATGGCAGTGGGGTTTGGGTTTAAAGGTGAAATAAATGGTTTTACTTACAGATTTGAAAATATCAGTGAATATTTGAAAATAGATGTGTTGTCCCTTAAACAACACAGATTAATTAAGGTCATTGACTTTTCTCACAGTTAAAAATCGTACCACCGCTGTTAATAAAATAGGACTGACATGGGGGATTGGATAGTTTAGAATAGGAAAAGAGTGGATAGATAATGAACACTGCCTGGAAACAAATGAGGGAAAGTACTGTCAAAAAGGAATGTACAATTAGGAATTATATGTATGACAATAATCTGGAAGAAGAGGTACATTGCAAAGTGGGCTTGGGGAGGGAACAGGGAGGAAAATGTGCATCAGTGAAGGAATGGAAACCCAACCTTTCTGTAAACTTTATTTAAAATCACAATAAAAATAAAATTTTTTTAAAAATCAAAATCTACGTATAATTTACAGTTTATCCTTGAAAGCGTGGCATTGAATTGTGCGTTGGATTGCTTTTAGTTGAAAATGACTTGACAGCAGTGGATTTGGTTTGGTATGCTTGTGATTCCTTTAGGACTAAAACCAATGTTTTAAGAGAGGAAATAAATGTATTTATGGGGAAAATGACAGTTTCATGGTAGAATTTTCACATACACTCATCTTCACCCTCGCACCCCCCTGCATGTAGGGAAGATCTGAGTTTGATTCCTAGCCAATGATGAGGCTCAACAGCCTTAACATCAAAACCTAAGCCAAACTAGGAAGAAACACCTGGTAATCTACTTTTGAAATTAGCCCCCCAGGTCACAGTCGATCCTGCTATAACCTATCACAGAGAGGACCCAGGACTCTACAGAGTTTTCTTCCATTGTTCACCGGGTCTTAATAGCAGCTAAAAACCAATAACGTGCTTATAATAGTGTCCCACCTGATACATGCCAAGTTGCCTATATTCAGGATACTAAGTCCATGTTTTTATTTGCTTTACACCGAACTTCATGAAGCAGGTATGTAAGGGCTGGAAATGTATTATGAGATCAGCACAACTGTGCTTGACTTTTTGAAAGATAATTTTCTCAAGCACTACTCACATTAAGAATATTTTCCCCCTTTCAGAAATAACCTCTCTAAGCACTCTTTGGACTCCAAAAGTAATTTAAGATAAATTTATTAGTTGGTTCTCAAATGAAGGAGTATATATTTTTATTATCTCTCGTGAAGTCCTTATTTCAACAATCTCTCACAACAGGACTTCTGGTTGGAACTCTGGATTCAGTCTTAGATTCTACTGCTAAAGTAGCTCCGTTTCGCATCCTACACCAGACACCAGATTCTCAAGTTTACTGGTCAATTGCATGTGGTAAGTACGCTTTTAAAAAGATATAATAAGCATTAAGAAATGCACTATTTGGCATTAAGAAATGGAATGTATTTGACTAAATTTGGATGTTTTAAAATTCCCTACTTGTTCAAAAACTTGGAAACAAGCCAAATGCACCACTGCATATTCTGAGACTAGCAAAACATCTCTTTGTTTGTTTAAGGAAGATTACAGATTATTATGGTTTTAGTAAATCCATTAGCTTGAGATACCTAAAGGATGTGTTTTAGAAATACCTATTCAGACCAGACTTTGTCAGCGCTTATTATTTTATTACTTCAGTTTACTTCTCTATCTCCAATATGTTATAGGAAGACGGGAAATTTTCCATGAAGTATGTTGTATCATCTCTAATAACAGATCATTCAAATGAGGACATTCTGAAGTTAACAGTGGCACCAAAATTGTCTCCTAAAGATATATAAACCTGAAAAAAAGAAATATTTTTTATCGTGTCCCAACTTTCTCATAAATGGTGCTGTGTCTTTGAAATAAAAAAGAAATCTGTTAGTAGTAATATGAATATTCATGCTGAGCAGATCAGATGCTTCAATGTATATACATTTATGATGAATAAGGAATTAGGATAATTCTTTCTTACAAAGAAAGTCATTGCTGTTGAGCCAGAATTGACTCATTGCTGACCCTTCAGCACAATTTCAGAGGCTATAAATTGCATGGGAGGAGACTGCCCATCCTTATCCTCCAGAGAAACTGGTGGATTTGAACATGTGCTTTTGGGTTGGTAGTACCGCTCTTTACCCCCCAGGACACTAAAACAGTTCAAATTTTAAAGAAATACGATTACACAGTTTATTATTTCCTTATACTGTTACTGTAATTTTGGTCTAATTAGAATATTGGGGCTTTGGTGGCCTAGTGGGTAAGGACTAGGTTGGGTTTTTTTAAATTTTTAATTAGAGTCTCACAATTACAGCTTTTTTAATATTGAAAGAAATTTTTTTCACTCTTCCTGCTCTCTTAAAATATACTTTAAAAAACGAAAGATATAAATTTCTAGGTTGTTCAAACATGTTAACATATAGCATACAACCAGTTTTTAAAAATGTATGCACTGGGGTGTTCGTTTTTTTAAAATTTATCTTTAAATTTTCATTAATATTGCTAGTGATTGTTTTCTTTTGGCTTTCTTAAATTGGATGCAATGTAAACAAATATAGATACTATACCTGCTGGTAATCATTAGAATTGTTAAGCAAAGCCGTAAATCTGACTAATAGAAATTAGAAATAGAAAGCATCTCTTCTATTTTTGTTGAAAATTGAAGGATTTTACATTACTTATTTTTCCAAATTAACCTGATGCAGAAATATTGTAATAGTTACTTACTAATTGATCCTTTGTTATGCCTAAACTTTAAAGTTTCCTATAACTTTTCATTGTGATTCAATAAAGAACGTCATTATAGTTGGCATGGTGACCTTAGTGGGATGAATAAATTCTGAGTTAACAAAAATGTGATTTCAGTGTAGATAATAGTTTTAATGTCTCAAACTCCCACCATACAAAAGAAAATATATTAAGACATCAAGATATTTCTTTTGAGTGAAATTTATATAATCCATGATGTAAAAGGTATGTCTTAATAGGGGGAGCTTGATAGATACTGAAATGTTATTCTTCAGAACAGAGCAACGTAGAGCTAACTGTAATATTTGCTCGGAGTCTAAACAATCCACTTAACATTGATTTAGTAGATCACACAGATTTAGCCTTGAGACATGTTTTCTACTCTCCTTAATGAGATTTCTATAACTTAACTAGGTCTTTCAGCAAATGATATTATGAATTGAACTGTGGCTCTCAAAAATTTCTTTTAAATACTAACCCCTATGCCTGCAATCCCATGTGGAAATGGATTATCTTTGTTATGTTAATGAGCCAGGATTAGGGAAAAGTAATATAAGCAAGTCTCTTTTGGCATATAAAAGACATTAAACAAGAAAGTTAGAAAAGCAGAGGAGACAAAGGAAAGATTTACACACAGAAACAATTGTGGAAGGTTGAAGGGGGGAACAGAGATTAGTGAGTGAACAGGTAGAGTGAAAGGAAAGGGAGAAAACTGGGAGGTTTCCATAAGAAAATGTAAATTATGGCAGTGTAAAATTGTAATTGCTGTTATGAGACAAAGGGTAGATGGGTGACTAAATGAAAACCAATTAAAAAAACAAAGAAAAGCAGAGATGGGGAAGAGAAAAAGCAAGTCACAAGAAGACAAAGCCCTTTTCCTATAGTCAACTGTCAAAGAAAGCCTTTTAACAGAAACTGGCACCCTGAATTTGGACTTTTAGCTTCCTAAAACTGTGAGAAAATAAATTGGTATTAAAGCTACTCACATATGGGATTTCTATTAAAGCAGTATCAGATAACAAGACTTGAGGTGATTCCGACAAGAGGCTTCCCACTTTCTGAAATGGAATGACTACAGCTGAAGTCCATATTTACACAGTGTGGATGGGATTGCCATGTGCATGCTGGTTTTGGTCACAGAATATTTGAGATAAAGGATTGATTTATATATAAGTATTTCCATAGTCTCTTGAAAGATAATGGTTACTGTAAATATTTACTGTAAATATCAGCTAGTAGCATCTTCTTTTCAGAATTTTATCTTTTCTCATGATTTGTATTGCTTTTTTACTCTTTCTATTTATAATGATACCTACAGATACCTACAGATAGAGATTAACTAGAGGATAAATAAAATATTGTAATTATTATTATTACTTTTTTGAAAATGAACAGATACTTGTTTTTAAATTAAGCGTATAAATGTTAAGAGCTGTTTTGGTATAGGATTTTCCTTGAGTCTCTTATTCTTTCTTGTTATTAATCAGGAGCCAACAGAGAAGAAATTACCAAGCATTGGGATTGGTTGGAACAAAATATCATGAAGACCTTATCTGTATTTGATTCAAATGAAGATATTACTAATTTTGTACAAGGAAAGATCAGAGTAAGTGTCATGGTTATATTTTATAGATGAAATTGACCCTCAACCATGAGGATCAAAGTGGAAGGGAAGATCCTTGTTTTATTACCACAGGACTGGTCAAAGCACACTTGTGAATGTCACAATCAATGTGAAAGAGAACTGAAGTAAAAAACCCAATGTGTAGAAATTGTTGAATGTATGCCAATTTGCCCTTGTAAACTTTCACTGAAATCACAATAAAAACCTGTTTTTTGAAAAAAACCCCCATTTTTTAAAAAAATTAGGACTAATGGCTTAGTGTTAAGGAGTTGTACTGCCAACCCTAAGGCAGACTGTTCTCATCCATTGGTTGATCTGAGGGAGAAAAATGGACAGTCTACTCCCATGAGGATTTACAGCTTCTGAAAACCCATTGGAGAGTCAGTTATGAGTCGTTTCAGACTTGATGGCACATAACAGCAACAATCCAAAAGTCAATGGTTTGACTTTAATTACTTTTGTGAGTGTTCTTAGGCACATTTTAATTTCAGTATCTCTTGAATGAACTGTGGGTTCATTCAATAGGGTATACCTAGTACCTACATGTGTAGTAACTTCTTGCGAAGTATTAGAAAAAATCTAAGTATAAAACTGAAGAAAATTGTCTGACTTCTATCCTAAGAGAAATACATAGTGTTAAGGAGCTGCACTACCAACCCAAAAAACATGCACTTTGAATCCTCCAGCTGCTCTGAGAAAGAAAAGCAGTCTCCTCCTGCATGATTTGCAGCCTCTGAAAATTCCGTGGGTCAGCTATAAGTCAGTTTCAACTTGATGGTATATAACAGCATGAACATATGACATATGTACCTTTATAGAAATATACTGTTGTATCAAATTAACTATTTAAAGTGAAATATGTAAAGTATGTTTTTATTGGTAAGTGGTGATGTGTTTTCAGCAAATGTTTTGTGTCTTTCAGGGATTAATTGCTGAAGAAGGAAAGCAGTCTTTTGCAAAGGAAGATGATCCTGAGAAATTTCGAGAAGCCATTTTGAAATTTGAAAAATGTTTTGGTTTACCAGAGCAGGAGAAATTAGTGACCTATTACTCATGCAGTTATTGGAAAGGACGGGTCCCTTGTCAAGGCTGGCTCTACCTTAGCACCAACTTTCTGAGCTTCTATTCCTTTTTATTGGGATCAGAAAGTAAGTGGTTTCTGTTGCTTTCCATGATTTTGAACTTATTGATTGACCTACCAAATCAATGGTGGTTTTAAGTTTATTGGAAGTTATGGGATTTATATTAAAGATAATTAAACTGTGCATTTAAAAACGATTTCATCTAGAGAACCCTTCTAAGAATGCTTTCTTTTATTTTATTTTATTATTTTTGTGTGAGTGTACCGTCAAATCAGATCTGACTGGTACAGGAGGAGATTGTCCCTCCTTCCCTGGCAGAGCATCTGGTGTATTTGAACCGTGCGCCTCTGGGATTGTAGTTGCACCTAGAATGCTTTCTTGACATAGGAGCCATTAGAAATGTAGATTGAGTGCCTTGCATATTATGGGTAATGAATGAATATTAAATGATAATAGTTATCTGGCATATGATTTCTGCCCCTTGTTCTAAACTCCTTATTTGTTTCTATCCTTGTTTTCAACATGCAGCATAAATATAATCACCTTAAGTACTATAATGGCCCACCCATAATCTGGCAACAAAAAATAAAAATCAAGCAGTATTATTCATTTCATACATCCAGTTTTTAATTTTTTATTATTTCCTCTGTAAAGAATGTAGTATGAAAAAAATCTCTGAAATAGGTTTTTAAAATTTCTTTTAAATTAGTGATTTTATTAGAATTGCCAATTATTGTATATATGACTGTGCTTCAAAATTTTAACATATCTTGAAAAGTGCAGTAATGAATGAATGGAAATCCTCAGTCTCTGTAAACTTTCATTAAAATTAATAATAATAAAAAGTTCTAAAATATAGAAATTTAAAAAACATTTTAACACATCTTGATCTCTAAAGTATTTTAGTGATTTACACCTTTTCCCACCCAGTTGTCTCAAAAGACTACTAAAGAAACATATTAATACTGAGAAAGTTAATCATACCACCTTATAATTCTTATTTGCAGTAAAACTTGTTATATCCTGGGATGCAATCTCAAAGCTTGAAAAGACTTCCAATGTCATACTGACAGAGAGTATTCATGTGTCTTCTCGAGGGGAGGATCATTACTTTTCAATGTTTCTGCACATTAACCAAACATACCTTCTTATGGAACAGCTGGCAAACTATGCTATAAAGAGACTTTTTGATAAAGAAACATTTGACAATGACCCAATCCTTGATGATCCTCTACAAATCACCAAAAGGTATCAAAGCTTACTTAATATTTTATAGGTTGATCATAAGAAAAATGGTACAGTTTAACATTAAAACTCAACTGTTCTTTTTTAAATGGTAATTTTTTCTTTGGCATTGATCATCCATATGTCATGTTTTATGTGTTTGTTCGTACACATTTCACGAATAGTAATCTATCAATGTGAGAGATATCCACGAAGTTTAATCCTAGAATACTAGAAGTTACATTTGGAAATTATTTCTGGAAACTTAGGTGGGATTTGCCCTGGAATATTTTTATAATTTAAGGGATTTTTGTTTATGTGTTTAGTCCAACACTGTATTTCTCTGACTTGTCTATAGATTATTTTGTATCTAGGACTGTTAAGTACATTTTCTCATTTTAAAATTATTGGTAGCGTTTATTTATTTTATAAATAGACAAGTTAGTGAAGCAACCTTTGGACAAGCTATAATTCCTCAGGACTTTGATTTCTTATCTGACTTACCTACTTCAGAGGGCACTTTATGAGACATGGGTAATTAACATATATGAGAGCACTTCATGAAATATAAAGCAGTGAATAAGTATTTAATCATCATTACTGCCTGGCCACATCAGAAGAATCTTTCTGATCGCCATTTATTGCTATATTTAAAACAGTTGACTGAAATAAGCATACCAAAGGGAAGAGAAACAGAAGAGGTTCCAGAAATAGCTGATGAAAGCAGCTTCTGGCAAGGATGATAATGATACAGGCTGTATGACAAAATGTAAGCAGAGACTCAGTCCTATGGATAGACCAGAAAAAGTCATCTGGAGAGTTGTATGATACCATATGAGTTTATGATACCAAATGAGTTTCATTGTCTCTTGTCTACTTCTAAACTGTGCCTAATATATTCCTTTAGGATTCTGCCTTGTTTTCTAGAAATCAGAACAGTGAAGTGAACATTTTACACTACACAACTACAAACAAAAGAAAGTTCCTGTTTACATGATTTATAAAAAGTCCTGTTTACATGATTTAAAACTCTATAAGGATTGAGAATCTTAGTTTTTATAAGGTTAGGCATTTACTTGTTTCTTCCTTGGTTGGCCACATTAAACATAATTTTAGAGATATTGTAAGTCTATTCACTAAAAGACAAACTCTCTCTAAAACACCATTTATCAATGAATTATTCATTACTGTCCATACTGAAATAATTTATTCAGCTCTGGTGACAGTCTCTAAGTAGTCTGCTGCTACCAACAGCTCTGAGGGAGAAAGGTGGGAAGTCTCCTCTTGTGCAATTTATAGTATTAGAAACCTAGTGAAAGGTTGATTCAACTCAACAATGAGTTTGAGGGTTTTTCTTGAGTCTCCAAAGGACTTTTTTCTAAAAAAATTTCTAAAGACAATTTCTAAATTGCCTTTATTGCTTTTATTTACTCTGTCTACAAACATGTATTATTTGTATAATGCAAACAATACCAAAACCCAAAACCACTGCCATCAAACCACTGCTATGATTCTGACTCATAGCAACCCTCTCAAACCTTAGAGTTTCCAAGGCTATGATTTTTGCAAAAACAAATTGCCACATTTTTCTTTTGCTGAGCAAGTGGCGAACTAAAAATGCTGACCTTTTTTTATAACAACCAAGTGCTCAAATACTGGGCCGCTAGTACTCCATAAAAACCATGTGGTTGATCCTTTTCCGGTTCATAAGCGTGATGATTAGGGGTTCATACTTCTGTATGACATGTGCTACCTTTGAAACCTTGTTACGACATAGGCACATTACCCATCTGACATGAAAAAAAACCAAAGAAATCATGTAGTTGTAGTTGTTATGTGCCATCGAGTCGCATCCATTCATAGCTGACCCTCCAGTGGGTTTTTCAAAAGCTTTAAATCATATGGAAAGAGATTGCCCATCTTTCTCATATGAAGCAGCTGGTGAATTTGAATCACGTGCCTTTGAGTTGACAGGAAAACTCCTTACCAGGACAACTCCTTATCACTAGGGTACCAGAGCTCCTCAAATGATATAGAAGCATAATAACCATAGTTAAGCTTCATGTACATCTTTTTAAGTCTTTTGATGTAAGAATTTAAAAATAATTACAAAATAATATGAATTAATAATATAATTACTACATAAATAATATCTAAATATATAAATAATATAATATTAATTACAAAATAATATTAATTAAACAATAATATGAATTAAACAATGCATACAGTCTGCTGTTTTTCCTTCTTGTTGTTGTTATATGCTTTTGAGCCACCTTTGTCTCATAGTGACCCTATATACAACAGCTCTGAAGCCTGCCCTGTCTGGAGCCAGTTTCACTGACTCTGATTCACATACCCCTGTTGCCCCAGTTACTGTATCAATCCATCTCTTCTGGAGTCTTTATCTTCTACCCTGTCCTTTCACCCATCCAAGCCTGATGTCCTTCTCCAAGGACTGGTCCCTTCTGGCCATGTGCCCAAAGTATGTGAGATGGAGCTTCAAATCCCAGTCTCCAGGAGAAACCTGACTTTACCCTCTCTAAGACAGACCTATTTGTTTTCTTGGTGGTCCATAGTATGTTCAAGACTCTTCTCTAGCACCACAATTTCTTAGTCATTGTCCAGATCTCTGATGCATAGCAAGTAATTGTGAAGACCCTGGCCTGGATCAGGCACAGCTTAGTCTCTATAGACTGACATCATTGCTTCTCAGTACTTTGGAGAGGTCCCTGATAGCAGATTTTTCCAGTGCAATTCATCTTTTGATTTTTCTGAGTGTTGATTGTGGAGCCAAGTAACCTGTAACAGTTAACAACTTCAATCTCTTCTCCATTTATCACGGTGCTTCCAGTTGGCCCAGTGGTGAGAATCTTTTGTCTTCTTAAGGTTCTGCTCCAATCCATGTTGAAGACTACAGTCCTTGACCTTCTGCAGCAAGTGCTTCAGGTCCTCCTCAGTTTGAACAAGCAAGGTTGTGTCATCTGCATAACGTAGGTTGTTGATGATTCTTCCTCCAATCCTGATGCAGTATTCCTCCTCATAAAGCCCAGCCTCCTGAATGATCTGTTCTGCATATAGATTGAATCCTTTCCTGATTTGGAACCATCTTAGCTCTGTTCTGAGGACTGCTTCCTTGTCGGAGTATAGGTTTTGCATGAGCACAATCAAGTGTTCTGAGATTTCCATTCTCCTCAAGGCTAACCACAATTTGTTGTGATCCACACAGTCAAATGCCTTTGCATAGTCAATGAAACACAGATAGACATTCCTCTGGTACTCTGCTTTCTGCCAAGATCCAGCTGATAGTGGCAATAATGTTTTTAGTGCCATGACCTCTTCTAAACCCAGCTTGTATCTCTGGTAGTTCTCTGTTGATGTACTGTTCCAGTTGTTTCCGGATAATCATCAGCAGGATTTTGCTAGCGTGTGATATTAGTGTCATTGTTCAATAATTTCCACACTCTGTTGGGTCATCTTTCTTTGGAATGGGAATAAATATGGATCTCTTCTAGTCAGTTAACCAGGTAGTAGTTGTCCTCCCAAATTTTTGGCACAGCCTACTGAGCATATCCAGGGCAGCATCTGTTTGTTGAAATATGTCAATTGGTATTTCATCACTTTCTGGGGCCTTACTTTTTGCCAAATCCTTCAGAGCAGACTACACTTCCTCCTTCATCACCATTGCCTCTTGATCATATGTTGTTTCTTGAAATTCTTCTGTGTCAGCCAATTCTTTTTGGTACAGTGACTCAGTATATTCCTTCTATCTTCTTAAAATGTTTCCTGGATCATTCAGTATTCTGCCCACAACATCCTTAAGTATTACAACTCATGATTTGAATTTGTTCTTTAGGTCCTTCAGCTTTTGAAATGGTGAGCAAGTTCAGCACTTTTGATTTTCTGACTCCAGCTCTTTGTGCATTTCATTATAATTCTTTGCTTTGTCTTCCTAAGCTGTCTTTTAAAATCTTATGTTCAGCTCCTTAATTTCTGGTTTTCTTCCCTTTGCTTTGGCTTCTCAGCACTCATATCTGTGGAAGGAATCATTGGAGAAGTTCTGTATCAGCAGTGAAAACTAGTCCAGGTGCTGATTACAGAATAGACCATCAACTACTTATATGCAAGTTCAAATTAAAGCTAAAGAAGATCAAATCAAATACGCAGGAATCAAAATTTGATATTGAGTCTATCTTACCTGAATTTAAAAACTAACTTCAGGAATAGGTTTGAGGCCCTTCACACTTATGAGCGAAGACCAGATGAGCTGTGGGAGGATATCAATAATATCAACCACGAATAATGCAAAAGGTCATTACAAAGACAGAGGAAGAAGAAAAGATCAAAATGAATTCAGAAGAGACTCTGAATATTGCACTCGATCTGTTTTTCCTTATAATATTATAATCAAAGCATTATATTTCCTTACAATATTATTTCACAGGTTGTATTATAATTCTTGGTATAAATAAGCCTCATCTTTTTAGTTTAAGTGAGACTTATATTCATCAGAACTATTTTTAAAGATAAGATGAAATATCACACTTTAATGTAGTACATGTAGGAAAAATGAATCTAGATTTAACCTTGTTGCATTTGAATTAGAATTTATGTAACCTACTTACTCCCTCTAATGACATTGCTATTTAGCACATTTATTTACTGTTTCTAAATAGTTGTATGGTTTTAAAATAAATATATATGTGTCAGTCAACAAATCATTTTTATTTATCAACACCTATCATGCATGCACCCAGCATTGTGTAATACTGTTAGATCGTGCTTCTGCTTCATATATTTTTTTAAACATTCATTTAAATTGTTTGTCTCAATATTCTTTTAAATGCTCTACTTCCTCCTAAACTTGGATGCAATAAATTTTCATTATGTTATTTTGTTTTAAATTAGTAATTCTCCTGATTTCCTGATAACCCAGTATGAAGATTATTATTTACTTAGATTGATTTTAGCCATATTCACATATTTTCAGGAATATACAACAATAACATAATAATCTTCCAGCAAATCACCCCTTAACAGAGCTTGTTTTAAGATCTAGACCATCAGAGGGGGAGGCTGGGCACGGAGAGAAGTGCAGCAATGAATGAATGGAAAGCCAGAATCTCTGTAAATGTTCATTACAGTTATTTTAAAAAAAACCCCAGTATTGCATGTTTATCAGAAAAAAAAGATCTAGACCATCTCTAACTTATGTAGATTCTCATCTGTGATAAAATTAAATTAGAAAGGAGAACAAGCAAAATCAGTTTATTATGATTCAGTGCATTTCCTCTGTTTTATAATTTGTTGAAGAACATAGCATTTAGTGTTTAGCCATACACTTTACAGTCATTCACATTAATCATACAGTCATTTATACACTTTAAAATTAATCATTTGATTTCCCCCTCTTCTTTTCTTTTCTACAGAGGTCTGGAAAATCGAGCACACAGTGAGCAATTTAATGCTTTTTTTAGACTTCCCAAAGAAGAGACTTTGAAAGAAGTACATGAATGTTTATTATGGGTACCATTTAGTCACTTCAGTACTCATGGAAAAATGTGCATTTCAGAAAATTATATCTGCTTTGCTAGCCAAGATGGCAATCTGTGTACTGTAATCATTCCATTACGTGAGGTAATACAAATTCAGCTATATCCCAGCTTTTAGCTAGAAAAATATTGTCATTCCCAGGATAAAATGATCTTTTAATTCTGTAAAGTATTAAGAACAAAATAATCTGTATCTTTTTTATAATATTAAAGTAAAAATCTTTTTAAGTTCATTATTTTTCATTAAGATAAAGAGAGTGGTATCTTCTCTTGACTGGCCTTTTACAAATGAAAGTAGAAAAAAATTTAAATTTTGTTAAAAACAAAATAGAGATTAGCATGACTCAGAATTGAGTGTGATTGCCCATTTATGACATGAATACCAAAATGTAGATTATCATATTTAATGGTAAAAAGGGAATATCATTAATAATTTTGTGTGGGCCGGAAATGCAATGCTGAATTTTTACACTGTGTTATCATTTTTAAAAGCTATGTGATGGTTAAACCTTTATTTGGGAATTGAAATAATTTACATCTAGTAATTTATTGTGCAGATGGTAAAAGGTAAAAACTTTTAGCCAAACCCATTTTTCCTGAAATTATCAACATTAAGAGAAAAATAGGATAATTTAATCATATGTTTTTTACCCCTAGGTCTTAGCTATAGATAAGACGAATGATTCCAGCAAATCTGTCATCATTAGCGTCAAAGGAAAAACAGCTTTTCGCTTCACTGAAGTTAATGACTTTGAGCAACTGGTAACAAAACTCAGACTCAAGTTTGAGGCAATGTCAACTCAATGTCATGATACCAGTACAGAGGTAATTATATAGCAGTTGAATTATTTTGAAGGGGGGAAAAACCCCAAATTTGTTTAGTGTGGTCCGTTCTTTCAAAGGGCATCCATAGGATTTTTCCTGTTTGTGAAAGAGTTCTGGCAGTATTGTGGTTAATGATTTCAGCATCTCACCAAAATGTTGGTGGTTTGAACCTGTCATATACTCTATGATAGAAGGATTAGTCAGTCTGCTTCCCTAATGAGATATAGCTTTGGAAACTGTATGGACAGTCCTGCTCTGTCCTAGAGAGTTCGAATCAACTTGATGGTAGGGGATCTGGCTTTCCTACTGATACTTAGAAAGGAGGCTCTAGCACACAGATTTGAATCCACCAGCTGCTCCACTGGAGAAGGATGGGCAGTCTCCTTTCGTGCAATTTACTGCCTCTGAAACTCGCTGGAGGATCAGCTATGAGTCGATTCCAACTTAATGGCACATAACAACAACAATTCATACTTAGAGAGTATTTGTAACTTAGTGATAAGGAATCATGCTGCCAACCCAAAGGTACAAATTTCGGATCTACCATTTACTTTGTGGGAAAAAGATGAACAGTCTCTTCCTGTACAATTTACTACCTCCAAAAACCCTCTGAAGGATCTGCTATGGGTCTATTCTTACATGATAACGTTTCTACTTACTTTAAAAAAAAAAAAAAAGAATTGGCATTATAGAAATTCTATTCTGTTCTTGTTGTTTGCCAAGTCAGAACAGACCCATAGCTTCAGTGGGTTTTCAGAGGCAGTTAATCACATGGGAGTAGATAGCTCATCCTTAGATTAAAAACTTTATCATTCTCAGAAATGCAAACTTTTAAAATTATTATTTTTTCTGTTCTTGCTAGCTTTGCTGCTTTTCATATATACATACCTTATGCTTTCACATGTATTTTAACTGCTGAAACTGTATTTGAAAATTTAGTAAAGCCTTGTTAAAGGTTATCACTTATGGCTGCAGAGTGACAGAAATTTTAAAGCAGTCTTAATATCTTTTTAAAATATCTAGTAGGTTAGCTTTGGACGAGCTCTGGTGGCCTAGTGGCAAGAAGCTGCACTGCAATCTCAAAGGCTTGTGGTTTGAGGCCACCAGCTACTCTGTGAGAGAAGGATGGGCATTCTCCTCCCATACAATTAACTGCCTCTGAAAACCTGCCAGAGGATCAGCTATGGGTTGGTTGCAACTCTACAGTATACAAAAACATCATTAGGTTAGCTCTACTTTCATAATCTGGCCAGTAGCTAACAGTAGTACATCTGTTTATATAGGAAAATATCAGAGAGGGTAAATATTCTTGGTAAACAGTGGTTAAGAGCCTGATTTTTGTATTTCATGTGTCTTCAATGGAAATGTAGACAGTATAATGCAAAAGAAATTTCTTTCTCGACGTCACAATTCTTTGCATGTTCATTTTCATTTAAAGAAAAAAGTCACCATAAACTTTACTGGCTATCTTATTTATTTGGAACAGCATATAGAACCATTTCCCTACCTCTCTAGAGTAGGTGGAGCTGAAAAATTAAATATAGTGCAATATTAAAATTCTATCTTTTTTAGAATAAAGTCATAATGAAAATGTGAAATTAGAATGTGTTTGTCATCTTTGTTCCGAACACAGAAACTTCACTTTGGCCATCAAGATTTTTTCTTGGCACAACTTAATGATCTCTCTAAAGATAAAATTGCCCTATCTTTACTTGTTATGTAGGGATCTCTAGTGGCAAGAAGCTGCTCTGCAATCCCAAAGACATGCAGTTCGAGTCCACCAGCTGTTCTGTGGGAGAAAGATGATCAGTCTCCTTTCATGAAATTTACTGCCTCTGCAAACCTGCTAGAGGGTCAGCTGTGGGTCAGTTCTGACTTGATAGTACACAACAACAATCTTTACATCTAGTATGCACCATTTGTTTGATATGGAAACTGGTGAAATACGCATCTTGGCAATTTCTGTCCCAATATCTCCATAATCTTACTAATATCACTTTCCCCTCACCCTATTCAGTTAGTAGGGGAACTCTGCTGGCTTAGAGGTAAGTTGTTGTACTGCAAACCCAAAGGCATATGGTTCGAATCCTATGTGATTTACTGCTTCTGTAAACCCTCTGGAGAGTCAGCTTTGAATCTGAGTCGGTTCTGACTTAACAGTACGTAACATTATTCATTTAGAAGCTGAGTGCTTATTCTTTGTATCACCAGAGCTCATATCCAGTGCTGTCTTACTTTCTTTTTTTTATTAGATGGAATTGGGTTCCTTACCCATACAGTAATTCAAATAATAATATATTTACCCATATAACTGTTTTTTCTTGACCTTAATACAGTAATAGACTTCCTGTGATTACAGTTTAAATTGGAAACAGGTTTTAGCTATTGGAATATATTTGTGTTTAAGTTAACAAACCAGAAACTTTATTAAAAATAAAATTAGCACTTGATTTTAAATTACAGACTATGAACAGGATTCTATTTTAAGATAAGCTTCTGATATTTGAGAAGACTGTTTCTTTGTAATTTTTTATTTTACAGACAAATTCTAGCTAGATCATTTTATTATGCTATCTTTGTGAAATAGTCCAATTTAAATCTAGTAGTTTATGGAAAATACCCCTGATGTTGCAAATGGTTAATCTCCTAACTGCTAACTGAAGGTTAGCAATTTGAACTCACTCCTAGGTTCCAAGGAAGAAAGACTTGGGAATCTGCTTCCATAAAGACTCTAGAAAAACAAAACAAACAAACAACAACAACAACAAAAAACCAAACAAAAACACCACCCACAAATCCACTCCTATAGAATTGATTCCACGTCATAGCAACCCTTTATCTCCTAGACTGTAAGTTCTTACAAGAGAATACTGTCCAAGTATCTTTCTCCCAAGAGCTACTTGTGGATTTGAACCACTGACCTTTAGGTTATCAGTTGCAAAAGGAGCAGATGAAACATGGGATTGGCTGAGTCTGACTTCTGCCTGCTTCATAAAGGGGAACTGTCCCCATCACAGCAAATAGATAGCTACTGTGTCTGACACTGTCCCGTCCCCCCTCCATGCTCCTGCACCTATTTCCACCAATTACTGGGTTATATATTCATTGTGGACTCACAGAACTTTACTTACAGTTGTGGTACAAAGCAAGAGTGGAGTTTATAGGGAAATAGACTGGGGAGCAGGAGAGTCAAAGAATATTTCACAATACAAGTCCAGGTTTAGTCTAGCAGTCCCAAGCCATATTAATAGCAAACTCAATTCTTTAATTAGTAAAAATCCTGATTTTAGTTCATCAACACAAATTCAGGAAGCCTCTTTTTTTTTTTTTTTCAATCATCCAGCAAGGTTTGCCACAGAGCAGTTATAAGTCAGCTTCCTTCAATAATCTGGCAAGCAAAATCTCTTGTCTCTGGCCAGCACGAATGCAAGAAGCCTCAGGTTACATCTTGCCAGAGTTTCTCCACAATTTTTACTTTACTTTTTAAATTATATCTTTCTCTTTATTGATACCTTCTATTTTATGAAACATAGTTATCATACATTCCTTAAAAGAACACCCCAAAACCCTACAGTTTCCTTTATTTCTTCAGTATACTTTTAATAGCTGCCTTATAGCCCCTTCAGTGACATTGTCTGTTGTGTTTATTTCCCTTCCATTCCCCCAACCTTATGTACAGGGAGGCAGTCCCTGGATTACTAATATCAGACTTACTAATTTACAGACAACTCCTGCCTATCCTTTAATGTTACATAAATTTGAAATGTTACTCTTATGTTGAAAGGATTGACACAATCCCTACTTACAGTAAATTCTCTTTCACAATTACCATTACATTCTGTACATGCATCTTTTAAGTCATTTAAAGACTTTGAGCCTTTTCTTGTTCATTGTTGTTGTTGTTGTTGTCAGGTACTCTCAAGTTGACTTGAGACTATTGAAAACAGTCACTGGGCCAGTTCATTTCCTTGAGGGTCTCCCTCTCCCTCACTGACCTCTACGCATGTGATGTTTTTTTCCAAGGACAGGCCTCTCCTCAGTATGTGAGATGACGTTTCATCATTCTTGCTTTCTAAGGAGCACTTTGGTTACTATCTCTACAAGACATATCTGTTTGTTCTTTTGGAAGTCTATGGAATAGTCATTAGTCTTCTCCAGCACCATAACTCAAAGGTATAGATTCTTTTTCTGTGATCCTTAGTCATTGTCCAACTACCATACAACCTTAATCTTTGGTAGCAGATTTTCCTAGTGCAACTCATCTTTTGATTTCCTGACTGCTAGTTATGGTTGACATTGTTGTGTGCTGTCAAGTCGCTTATGACTCATAGCAACCCTATGTTCAGGAGCCCTAAACCCTGCTCTATCCTGTGCCAACCTCACTGTCTCTGACACACCAAATCCCACTCACTGAATCAGTTCATCTCATCGAGGGTCTTCCTCTCCTGCGCTGTCCCTCCACTCTCCCAAGCATGATGTCCCTCTCCAAGGACTGGTTCCTCCTTGCAACATGCCCAAAGTGGGTCAGACGAAGCTTCAGAATCCTTGTCTCCAAGGAGCAGCCCAGCTTCACTCTCTCCACGACAAACCTGTTTGTTTTCCTAGCAGTCCATGGTATATTCAACATTCTTCTCCAGCACCACAGCTCAAAGGCATCAATTCTCCTTCTATCATCCCTAGTCATTGTCCAGTTCTCTGGTGCATAGCACACAATTGTGAAGACTATGGCCTGGATCAGGCACACCTTAGTCTCCAGCCTGACATTGTTTCTCTTCAGTACTCTGGAGAGGTCCCTGACAGCTGACTTTCCCAATGCAATTCGTCTCTTGATTTCCTGGCTCCTGGTACCAAGAGTATTGGTTGTGGAGCCAAGCAAACTAAAGCTGTTAACAGTCTCAATCTCTTCACTATCCATAATGATGCTGCCAATTGTCCTAGTGGTGACAACTTTTTCTTGATGTTGACCTTCAATCCATATTGAAGGCTGCAGTCCTTGACCT